ATCCTCTCAGTCCTGGGCCAACCAGGATGGTTGGTCACCAGACCTGGACCTTAGTTAACCGTGTGTGTTTAGCTTAGGGCTTAGTTAAACTTCTACCTGTGAACTTAGGGCTCAACTAGTGCCTCCTCCTTGGAAACCCGTCTCTGCCTCTCAGGTGTGATTCTGCCTGGGGAAACGAAAAACTTCACCTTCTTCTTTAAGTCTTCGAGTGCTGGCATCTTCAGGGAATGTTGGGAGTTCAAAACTCATCCCACCCTACTGGGAGGGGCGCTCCTGCAGGTCAATCTCCACGCAGTCTCCCTGGCCCAGGACATTTTTAAGGATGAGAGGAAGTTGCTGGAGGTAAGGGACCTGGAACGTTGGCCCCTGGGAACATCAGATAGGTTACTCTGGTGTTCTTTCTGGCTGTGCCTGGAAGGATCTTATTTCTCCTAGCCCAAGAAGTTAATTTTTCACAAACGGGTACCTACTCTTGCTTAAATACTTTCCAGAGTTTTGTGTATAGAAGATGAGGCAGGCAGGCTGGGGGAGGGGCTGCTCGCAGCAGCCACGCAGGGCACCAACTGAGTGAGAGATGAAACGGTGCTTTAAGACGCAGACTGCGCAGGATATTCCCTGGAGTGCAAAGAGATCATGTGACCCTCTATGCCAATGCTGTCTTTTGTTCACTGCTGTCTGGTACTGTGCAGTGGAGTGGCATTTAACAGACAAGACTTCCAAACCAGAGATGACAATTTAAATAGCTTACCTCAACACCCCACCCCATAAGCTGACATCCTAGTAAGTGTGAGATGGGAACTGGGAACCTGCCACCCCCAGTTCTCAGAAGTGCCCCTTCTGCTTCAACTGGGGGAAATCCAGATACCATTCAGGAGCAGCTGTCCCCCAGGAGTGGCCTCCTCTGGACCCTTTGTATCCTCTGTTAGGGAACAAGGAGGTGTGGGAAGACCAAAAGAGTTTTGAGGCAGGTACGTGTGTAAGCAGGAATTTCGACCCGAGGAAGCCACAGTCCCAGGGATCTGGCTTCCTTCAAGTTTACATGGGTGCTGGGAGCCTGGGCTGCCACCTTATGCCACTTTCCCTTCCTCAGAGCAAGCTGGCCACTCATGATGCAGTCTCCATAGCAAAGGATGTGCTGCAGGAGCTGCTGAGGGGGATCCTAACCCCGGAGCGCATGCCTTCGCCCGTGGATGCCTATCTCACTGAGGAGGAGTTGTTCTGCCATAGGAATCCTCACGTACGGGGTGGCACCACGTGTGCTCTGGGCAGTTGTGGGACCAAACCCATCTGTGTGCCAGGACACAAGTAACTCACTTTCTCCTTACACCAGTCCTATGATAAGATGTGGGTACTGTTATATCCTCATTTTACACTGAGGAAACTGAGACCCAGACAGATTAGGGAATGTGCCCGAGATAGTTAGTAAGTGGGTGCTTGGTAGGGACAGGGCCTCATAGACTCCTTCATCCAAACCCAGACTTTCTTGGAAGCCCAAATACAAAAAAAAAAAAAAAGTTTTAAATTGGAGGCTGGAGGGGGAGTGGGAGGGGGAGTCCCCCTGGCTTCAGCCACTCACTCTCTGCTGTCATCCGGCTTCTCTCCTGCAGCTGTATTACCAGCACCGTGTGGTACAAAACCTGCATCAACTGTGGAACCAGTGCAGGATCCTGTCTGCCAAGTCTGAGGAGGCCCGGCCAGGTGAGGAAGAGCACCTGAGCCCCAGGGTGCCAGTGACCCCATCTGCCCATCTGGAGAAGGCGTCGTCGAATGTGGACAACATGACAAACTTCAGGAACCCAGTCAGGGAGCCTCAACTATCCCGGCATGAGAATGAGGCCCAGGGCAACTTTCAAGATTACTCCACGTTCCAGAAGACTAGAGTGGGGACCAAGATTTCACAGAGGAAGAGCATCATGGAGGAGATCCTGGTGGAGATCCCAGAGGTGGATAGCACCAGGAGCCCTTGTGAGCTGCCAGGTGTCCCCCTGACTGAGTGGAACCTCTGCCTGAAGGAATTCAGAAAGGTGTGTCTGAGACCTGGAAAGGATTAGGGGAGAATGGCCCTGGACAGCTGGGCACACTGCTCCTTGCCCCAAACCAGTTAGCTCCATCACCTCATGGGCAGTGAGTGAACCTTCCCGAGGGCCCAGAAAAAGTGATCTTTTGACTCAGCTTTTTTCCCTGGGATCCTCAGGAAGCTTTGGTGTAGGAAGGGCTCCTTCGGTGACCTGGCAAACCTCAGAGAAGGGGTTCATGACAGATTTCTGGGGGAGGTTCCAGGTGCCACAAAAGGCACCTTAGAGTTCACGGCTCCTGATTCTTCAGCCACCTGTCTCATCACTAGATGACACAGGGACCCCCATTGTGCCAGGGCAGAACAGTTGCCCATGGTGCTTATGCCCCTCACCAGGCAGTGATGAAGCTCCCAGAAGACCACCAGAAAGAGGATGCCCTGATCAGCCTCAACAAGGCAGCCTTGGAGCTGTGCCAGGAGCAGAAGCCATTGCAGTCCAACCTCCTGCACCAGCTGTGGTAGCCCCCCCTCCCCATGTCCCTTTTCTCCTTCCCTTGGTGACATTTGTCAGGGAGTTCCTGGACTGAAGGGGCTGAACATCCCTTGAATTCAGATTGCTGAAGGATGTTCTAGGACCTGCCACAGCAGCTCCACAGCTGCCTCTGCTCCCTGGGGAGCAGGTGCTGCAGGGTGCATACCTTGCCTTGTCCTCCTCCTCCTTCTCTTGTTCCTTCTCAATGAGTAGAAGAATGAAAAAAGGAGATCCCAGTAAAAGCTTCACTTCTCTCTTGCCTGGCAGCTGCTTGGGTGGGCTTGGGGGCCTTTTGTAAGGCTCTCAGAATACAGCCCCAGGAGTCTCATGCTAAAAAACTCTTGCAAGGCTCAGCCCCTCCAGTGGGATGGACCCAAGCCTAACTGTAGCCCCAAACTGTAGTTTAGATGCTAAAGTAGGACGGGATTCAGGGAGGCCTCCAACCCCAGTCCTGGGCCATCTTTTCTTGGCTGCTGCCCCAGGGAAGCCAGACTCCCATCTGAGCACTGGCACAATCTTGGTGAGGATGCCATCTGCTTGGTGGCATGGCATTTCCATGGTAGTTCTTGGCACTAAGGTCTTTGAAGGGAGTCACCTAAGCCTCTGCAGATTCAAGGACAAGTGGGGAGTGGTGGTTTTTCTCCAACACATCTTGCCCTCTAGTTTGCAGCTGTGGCGAGATGTAATTGACAGCCTGGTGAACCACTCCCTGTGGCTAAGGGTTCTGCTAGGCCTGCCTGAGAAGGAGACTATCTATTTGGATGTTCCAGAAGAGCAAGGTCAGACACTGAGCAGCACCAAGTGGTCTTCCCCAGCACTCTACCCAGACAGCAGTTGTACCTTGGCTATTTGTACCCCTGTGGTGGGCACTCTGCTAGGTTGGGCCATGGAGTGGGCATATGGTATCCTCTGTCTGCTGCCAGGATTTGGGGCTTAGAAGCTACCTTAATGATCACCTTCATTCAAGTCCCCCAAGTTTGCAGGAAAAGTCCCCAAAATTTAAATGACCTGTCTGTGGCCATACATGGAGCATAGTGGAGCTGGGGCTAGAATCTAGGCCTTCTGCCCCTGCCCCACAATCTTGTACCACAAGGTCACATGCCTGAATAAAGGAGCTCAGGGAAGTGGTGCCCGCCTCTGCTCTCAACCTGTGGGAATTCTCTCCAAGCCTCTGAGAAGAGGGTTCAAAGCCTCACCCTTTGCTTTTCCATCTCATTCCCAGCCCCCTCACAGGCCTGTGGTGCCAGCTAGACCGCAGGGGGCCTGCTACATGCTCTTCCACTCACTCCCCTTAGATCGAAAATCACCTCCCATCACGGAAGTGAAGACGACAGCTGGAAAAATTGGGAAGCAGACAGAAGGCCGGAAAGGAGCAATACAGGAAAAGAAGCAACTTGGAATCAGAGACAAAGAGGACAAAAAAGGAGCCAGGATGGCAGGGAAAGAGGCATGTGGGACATGGTCTGGGGTCTGGGGAGGGCGTTCAAGGGGCAGCAGGAACCTGGAGGTCTCTCCAGCAAAAGGCCCAGCTCCCAGGGAGCTGCTGTGGAAAAGGTATCTGTCCTGCCTTGGGAGCTCCTGAAGGCTGTGTGTGTGTGTGTGTGTGTGTCCATTTCTCCAAGCAGGACCGCATCAACAGCAAGAAGCAGAAGGCAAAGGATGACAAGAAAATACTGAAATCTTCAAGTCGGGACAGGCTTTCCTCCGACGACCCTGCCCCTGACAGCACCGTTCCTTCCCACGAACCCATAGATCCCCTGGTCAAGGAGAAATATATGCTGAGGATGCACACAGAGGTGAAGGGAGGAGCCCAGTAGCCAGCCTCCCCTCCCCCACACCTCCCTCCCCCTGCGTCATTCATTCCATTCATTCCCCAAATGAGCTCCTGCTCCATCAGTGATGGAGGCAGAGCTGCCTCATGAGGGGCATCCTAGAGTGTAAGGCTGCCCTCATGCATGCATGTCAGGAGATGAGCACTGTGACAAAGACCACGAATCGGGGTCGGCCAGGGGCAGGGGCCTCCCTGAGAAGGTGACACCATAGAAAGGCTTGAAGAAGGGTGAAGGGTAGCTAGAAATGTGTCCTAGGCAGAGGAAGCAACTCTTGCATTGGAGGGAGCAGGCCAGCGGAGTAGGCCACTGGCAGGCACATGGGGTGGCCACATGGGACTTTGTTGCCTATTGGGAGGACTCAGGATTTTCTCTGAGAGACTGAGAAATCACACAGTATCTTGAATGGAGGAGCAACATGGTATGGCTTAGGCTTTAGAAGGTCCTTCTGGCTGCTGTCAGGAAACAGACTCCAAGGGAACGGAGAACAAGGAAGCACTTCTCTTTCTGCCACTTCTACCGCTGCCTTTATGTGCACCCTGGCAGACAGGTTCCTTGGGAGAAAACTACACAGGATCATCTTTGTCTCTCTATTGCTATAACAAAGTGCCACAGACTGGGTGACTTACAAAGAAAAAGGTTCATTTTTGATTCACAGTCTGAAGACTGGGCAGTCTAAGAACCTGGTGCCAGCAAGGGCCTTGCTGCTTCAACTCATGGTGGAAAGCCAAAGGGCAAGAGGGCAAAACACAGGTGTCTCATTTATAACTAATCCAGTCCCAAGAGAGCTCACCCACCCCCCAGTACTGGGAATTAAACCCAGGGCTTTTGCTCACACTAGGCAAGCATTCTACCACTGAGCTGCATCCATAGCCCCTTTTATTAAAAAAAAAAAAAAAAAAATTGAGACAGGGTCTTCCTAAGTTGCTGAGGCTGGCCTCCAACTTGTGATCCTCCTGCCTCAGTCTTCTAGGCAGTTGGGATCACAGGCACCGCCATATTGGGCTTAGAACTCTCATGCTCCTGAAGACATTATGCTTCTCGAGGGTGGAGTCTAGTGACTTAAGTCCCACCAATCTCAACACCTTTACACTGGGAATCAAATTTCAGAGGGGACAGGTCACATTCACACTGTAGCAAGGGTACATCCACAGGAAAGCCTTCATCGTGATCTGTTTTTAAGCAGTGGGTCCTAGGTTCTAGGTTGTTTTCTTTTTTGTTATTGTTGCTTGGAAGGGACGGCCACAAAGCCAGCTGGCTGTGTCAGCGAGTCTGTAGTGGTGCTTTCTCTTCCTCTGATGTGGACAGTTGGGAGTGAGGCTTACATCACTGTGCACTGTAGTAACACTCCGGATCTCATTTGATCAGAATTGCTGCTGGTGACGTTACTGAGATTTCTGATGATCGATGGGGTCTAGAAAGGAATTAAAGGGCTCTGAGAACTCATGGGGCAAACTCTTCCTTAGCTCTTTGATATTAAAAATCAAATTGCTTAGGCTTGTGTGGTCCAGCCTAGTAGGGGACAGTCTTGGACGCCTTTCAGTATCGGCATCTATGATCTTACAGGAAGACAAATTGGCCTCCGGGGAGGTAGGAGTGGAATTGAGACTGAGCCCAACCCCACCCTTGAGGGGCTAATGGGTGCTGCTCCCTGGGCTCTCTGGAGTTGCCCTTTTAACATCTGTAGGCTCCCAGAGCCCCCAGGGCAGGATTACCTCCCAGAGTAGGTCTGAAAAATAAAATTGTTTGCAAAAAACAGAAATTCTATAGAAACTCTTGAACTTGGTCCTCCTCTCTCCATCTCTTCTAGCATCTCTTGACTAATAGCTACCTTTCTGTCAGGTCTCCACAGAGCAAGCCCTTGCCTGTGACATCTGTCCTGGTCCTGTTCTTCCAGGTCTTTGAACTGCTGAATGTCCTAGTGACTGACCTGATGATCTTGGCTGACGAGCTCAGCCCCATAAAGAACGTTGAGGAATCTTTGCATCTCTGCAGCTGACTCTCGGGCCCATGTATCCTCCTGGGAAACTGGCTGATAAGTTAATAAAGAACCCTTTCAGATTCTACCACTTCCCCTGTGCATCTGTGTCTTGGTGTTGGATCTCAGTGAGGTCAGCTCATGGCCCAGGTGTTCCCATGGCCCACCTGCCCCCGGATTCCCCTCTGCCCTGCTCCTGGAGCCATCCCCACCCGGGAGGTGATATAGAGAGCATGAACAGAAGCGCAAGTTGGTAGCAGGACAAGGAATGAAATCAGGTGACAGGACAGATAGCGTCACTTTCGTAGTTCCTGCTCCAGTCTGTCTTGGTTCTAAAAAGGATCATGCTTCTTGGAGCCAGGTCTTCCAAAGTGTCATCACCAAGTTTGACAAAGTGTGAGACTAGGAGAAGCAGAGCCCATGGGACCTGGCTCCTTGAGATCTCCCACTTCAGCTGGCCTCAGAGTCCAGTCCCCAAGAAGACACTACCACACCTTCTAGACCCTGGAGGGCAGACCCCTTTGTCTTCAGCCAGAGATTCTGGAATCTGTTTTCTCCCCGCTTTATGTTAAAGCAGCTGGCCTGACTTCACACTACCTTCCCTGTATAGAGGAATGTGAAGTGAGCTGAGGTCCCTGATCAGACCCAGCACCACAGGGTTTTCTAAGGGTGGCACCCATGTGGGCAGGGCTCCTGTGTGGAGTGGGCCACAGGCTCCTGAGATTGGAGCATCACTCTCTGAACTGTGGCAGAGGGGCTTGTGGTCTGATGTGCTGATGGGGCAAGACAGGTGTGGGTGGGAGGCTCAGGAGTGGCTCAAAGCCCCTCGTATTCACATTTGGTGTTTCTGATAATGACCTCATGGGCCTCCAGCACCCTCCAGTTGAGACCTGAGAGAAGGAGGTTCAGAGAGGGCAGGGTGCTTTCTTCCCAGTTGGAGAGTCCTGAAGCCCCTCAGGGTGGCTGGGGAAGCCGGCTAGAAGCCCACAAGGGGACAGTCCCAGGGAATGGTCCTGCCCTCCGCTTTAATGTCCTCTAGAGGAGGAGAGGTGTGGTGTGGTGGGGGTGTTGGGAAGCCCCCACCCCTGTTTCCTGTTGAGGAGGTAAGGGAAGGGTTAACTCACTGTGGGATGGGTTGGGTCCCAGGCTCCAGATCCGCACCCTGGGGGATCACCAGCAGGCAGGACTGTCTCCGAATGCCCCGCCCTCCTGGAGGCAGCAGGAAGGGGTTAACACACCGCCTGCCCTGCGTCCTCCTGTGTCCTGTTACTGCTGAGGCAGACCTGCCCGGCCAGCCGAGCAACTTTCCTCCTGAGTGCTGCGCGCTGGCCAGAGTCTAGGAGGCAAACGGGCAAGAGGCAGAGCCGCAGCCTATTGGGGGACCCTGCCATCACCCTTCTGAGGGGTCTGTGCCTCCTGGGAGAGGGTGGGTCTTGGGGTCGAGGGTCCATGGTGGATGGCTCTGGAGCCACTCCCAAGGCTGTGCCATCCCCCTGCCTTGCTGGTCAGAGGGTCACTGCAGAGGCTGCTCGGGCTGGGGCTGAGGGAGCCCGCACTGGAGGTAAGCTCCCTCCCTGGCAGCAGAAGAGCCCTCCATGACAGGTGGGGCAGAGTGGGCTTGGGGCTTGGTCTCTTTCCCAGGTGCTAGAAAGGACAGGGCTGGGCTGTAGTGGACTTGAAGGCTTCTTACCTGTGTCCTCTGCCCCTCCGAGTCACCCCCGGGAAAGACTCAGGGTCTCCCTCTCCATCCCGGGATTAATGTCTTTGGTGGCATCTAGCATCTTTGGTGGCACTCCTCACAAATTCTGGCACATCTCTGCTGGTCCTTCTTCCTCGGTTCCTGCTGCACGTCTAGCCCCAGGGTGACCCTCAGCCCACTCCAGTGCCCCCAGCACACAGCTGCCCCAGAGCTGACAGAACCAACAGAAGCTTAGGGCTAGCATCACTCTCCTGTCCCTCCAGCAAAAGAAAGGTCCTGCCACTCCTCCCGTGTTCACGATGGACCGAGGGGAGTAGAGGATGGGGAGGGGCTGCTGGCTGGAGGGGCACATGCGGACTTGAGCAAACTTGTGCATGTGACTGGACAGATCTAGGTTCTGCCCATCTCTCTGAACCCCACTCTGGGGATGCCATCTGCTTACACAGTGCTGACTTTTGGGACTCTCTCCAGGTCTCTCCCCATTCCCATCCTGCAGACCCTGAGAAGAGAAGCCCCAGCCCCCTAATTCTCCTGAGTCGTGTATAGACCCCTACCCTCCCTGCCGTCCCAGCCCAGCCTACTCGCCCCCTCTACCTGTCCCCTCCTGCCTCCTGCCCCATCTGAATTGGCCTCCCAAGTCCTGGCTTCTCAGTGTCCTTCCCTCCACCTGACAGGGTCTGGCTCAAGGTCACTGCAGTAATTCCATACAAGCTGCCTGGGGCTGCCGCTGCCTTATCGGCAGCGGGGTTTCTGTTTCACTCCCTTTTATTCCTGGGCATATTGTGTTCGATAAAACCCTTTGCTTGTAACTCGGCTGGCAGGGCTCCCAGCTGCTCCTCCTGACTGCCTTTCCTCCCCCCTCCGGACTCCCTTGCCTTCACTCTGCCCTCTCTTCTTCCCTACCTTGTCCCCTCAAACTCTAGGGGGAGGAGGTCAAGGCACCTCCCTTTGTTTCTGGCCCCTCTCCCACCCCAGTTCCTGCAGAGGTGTGCAGAGATGCCCACCTTCCTCCTAGAAGAAAAGTCCAGGCAGGGTTGCCCGGCCACACCAGGAGGTCCCCCTCCCACTAAGACCGGAAGAAAGGCTGGAGCAGCCAGGCCCAGGTAGGGCTCTGGTGGAATCAGGATACCAGACTGGTTCTGCTAGTTCCATTGGCCAGCAGGGAGGGGCATGCACTGGGGCCAGCTTCTGTGCACAATTATTTCCCATCTTGACTCTGCCACTGCTGGCCTGCCCCGCCCTTTGGGGAGGTAAAGACAGGTCTGAGTCACTAGCAAGGGGGAGGGCAGGAGTTAAACAAGTTGAGGCCATAGCATCCCCACAGAAGGCCTACTACCAGCTGGACAGAAAGACAGACAGAAGGTAGGCAGCACTTTGGGCCAGCCACACTTCTTCTTTCCTGACTCCCACAGGATCAGATCCTCGGGGCCATGCCCTCTGAGGCACCTGGGCCCTGACAGGACTTGCCAAGGCCTGTGGGGTGTTTTGGACTGAGCTCAGCACTGGGATGGAAGGAGAGTGGCTTTGAGGGCCCTGGGAGCAGGACAGCCTTCTGAGTCCTGTCTTTGGCAATCTGGGGACCAGTTGACACACAGCCAGGCTGGGGTGGAGGGTGATGTTGGGAGGTGTGATCTCCATGGCTATCAGGATGTCATGGGGGAAGCGGAGGTTCTACAAGCTCAGCCAGTGCATGTGCCTTGTCCCTGTACCAGTGCCAGAGGAAGGGAGGTGGCAGAGAGGTTCCTCTTTGGTTTCTGATAGAGCCTTGAGAGAATTTTTCTGTCTTGGGCCTGGCCCTGAGGCTGGGGCAAGAGAGGAAGGCTAGCCCTGTTCCTCCCTGTGCTTTGCTATTAGAGGTCTTCTATGTACCCAGGGCCTTGGGAGTTTGAAAGCCTGAATTGTCCCTGCCTTCAGGGAACTTCTATTTTGGCTGAGAAAATGGAACTGAGATAGTAAAATATTCAGATTCATTAATTACCAATTTAGTAACAGTGACAATAAGTACCAGATTAATCTTATGGAAATGTAGATGTCAGCCCCAAGCCCTCCAACCACACACCATGTGATGTGAGCAGGTCACATCCCCTCTCTGGCCTCTGGGGGTGGCAGGGGGTAGTGGTGGCTAGGTCTCTGAGAGACACAGCTACCCCTACAAGCTCCTTTCCTTTGCCTTCTCTCTGGTTCCCCCTTCAGCTTCTTCTCCTCCTTCCCTTTGGGTCCCGGATCTTGGCTCAGCCACCACCTCCTCCAAGAAGTCTCCTCAGATTTTCCTTGCATGCATCTTCTGTGCTTCTGTGCATGCCTGCACTGGACTGTGATCATCTATACCCTTACAACCAAATGTGGGTGAACCAACACACTGAGTTTGGTGTAGGGCCTGACCCAGGGAAGGTCCCAGGAACCAGGTGCTGAATGAATCAAACTATAAAAATCAGCATAGGAGGAAAAGAGGAGAGTGAACAAAGAAGGCAGGAAAGCTGTGAGCAAGATCCTCCTCAGAGGGAGCCAATCAGGAGCGAGGCAAGGGAGTGGGCATCACAGCAGTCATGTTAAGGTCCTCGCTGAGGCCACTCTGGGTCCTCCTGGCCCCCCACTTAGCAGCTCTGTGATTTTGGACAAGCCATGGAATTCCTCTCTGAGTCTCACTATCCCCATGCATGAGTGGAGATAGTTATCATGGCATCTCTGGTGTGGTTGTGTAGATGGGTATGCCAAGCTACAAATACCTGCTGAATAATAAGTAAAATAAGAAAAATAAAAGTGAGTGTCCACTGACGGCTGTTCCCACCAGCTGGAACACTCTGGCTAGGCCTTTGTCAGTGCTGAGTGACCCTTGGGAGGGGAGCACTGATCCTGAATTCCAGACCTTCTCTTCCTCAGCCCCATGTGGGACCCAAGGACACAGCCGCCCTGCTGAGAGCACGGCGGCTCGCCCTTCAAGACCGTGACCTCACGACGGTGGACCTCGGCCCTCCACCTCCAACGGGGGCGGGGGCCGCCCACCTCCAAGTCTCCAGCCATGACGACCTCTGCGCTCCGCCGCCAAGTGAAGAACATCGTGCACAATTACTCCGAGGCGGAGATCAAAGTGCGCGAGGCTACTAGCAATGACCCCTGGGGTCCACCCAGCTCCCTTATGTCGGAGATCGCCGACCTGACCTTCAACACGGTGGCCTTCGCCGAGGTCATGGGCATGCTGTGGCGTCGGCTCAACGACAGTGGCAAGAACTGGCGGCACGTGTACAAGGCGCTGACGCTGCTGGACTATCTGCTCAAGACTGGCTCCGAGCGCGTGGCGCACCAGTGCCGCGAGAACCTCTACACCATCCAGACGCTCAAAGACTTCCAGTACATCGACCGCGATGGCAAGGACCAGGGCGTCAACGTGCGCGAGAAGGTCAAGCAGGTGATGGCCCTGCTCAAGGACGAGGAGCGCCTGCGGCAGGAGCGAACTCATGCCCTTAAGACCAAGGAGCGCATGGCCCTGGAGGGCGCAGGCATCGGCAGCGGGCAGCTGGGCTTCAGCCGCCGCGGTGAGCGGGGTTCTCCATCCTCCTACACCTGTGAGTGAGCCCCGAGAGTGTGGCTGGGACAGGGAGGTGGCCAGAGTCCAACCTTGGCTTTGCAACCGTGAACCATGGTGAATAGTATTTATCTTGGAGGGATGTTATGAGGACCAGCAAGATAAGGAGTGTAATGTGCAAGATATAATGCCCCCACATAGCAAGCACTGCTCAAGTTAGCTCAAATATAATGTTATTATACATTTGCCATTCAATTTATTAATTAACCATCGCTAGGATGGCATGGTGGTTGCACAGACTGGGGTCAGATACCATCTATTGTGCCCCTTCCAAGCTGTGTGACCTGGATAACCAACTCTTTGAACTTCAGTTTCCTTATCTGTAAGATGGGGATAACTTCTGTTGTTTGATCTGTTTAAAAACAAAGCAAAACAAAACAAGAACAAGACAAAACAAAACAAAAAAAGGCCCTCAACCAGACATGTGGCATTCCTCTTAACTCTCTCTCTTGAGGGCACTGCCCTTAAAAATAGGGGCAGTTGCTGTGCAGTTCCTGAATGCTTCCCCCAGCAGTGAAGGCTGATCTGAGGAACTCTGGAATAGCCCTCCTTTTTTTGGAGGCTGGGGATGGGGGACTGAACCTAGGTAAGCTCCACCTCTGAGCTGCATCCCCAGCCCTTTTTATTTTGAGACAGAGTTTCACTAAATTGCAAGGCTGTCCTCAAACTTGCAATTCTCTTGCCTTGGCCTCCTGAGTAGCTGGGATTATAGGTATGCACTACCTGATGTGGCTTAGAATGGCCCTGCTTTCATTGCTGAGAGCTTTGGCTGTGACTTTGTTATATTGGAAGTTCCTGCCTTCCCACTCTTCTTGGCTCCAAGCACAGTGGGGTCCAGCTGGAAGAGTCCAAGAGCAGGAGTCAGGGGACCTGAGCTCAAGTCCTGCTTCAGGATCCTGGCCAGACACCCTCTGAGGTGTCTGCCCATCTGCTCAGGTGGCACTGGCATCTGCACTTCCTGGGTGGAATGGGGAATCTACAGGAAGTGCCCAGTAAAACACCTGGCTCACTGGAGCCCTTGAGAGTTGTTTTTTTGCCTCAATTTCCCTATCTGATCCTCAGCTTCTCAGCAGGCAGAGGAGTGTGGGTACTGTGGCCCTGTGGGTACTAGTGTGGTCATAGAGGCCATGATGGTTGTTGCAGCTGCCTCTTCGTCCCCCCGCTATGCCTCGGACCTGGAGCAAGCGCGGCCCCAGACGTCAGGAGAAGAGGAGCTGCAGCTGCAGCTAGCACTGGCCATGAGCCGAGAGGAGGCTGAGAAGGTGAGACCTCAGTTGTCCGGGGCCAGCCGCAGAGGGAGGAGAGAGGCCTGGTGCTCCATGACTCGGGTTTCCCACCCTGGGCCTCAAGCCCTACTCCTCTCTCAAGGACAGTGCAGGGCCTGTGTCCCTGGGTTTGTTTCAGGCAGGACTCCTCTTGGACTTCAGTCCTCTCTGGTTGGACCTGGGAGTGTGACGTGTGGTTGGGGTATACAGTATGCATGAAGGGCCTTGTGATGGGGGAGGGGAGCGTGCTGACAGACATCCTTGAAAACACTGGGATTGCTGCTCCCCCATCAGCTGTCCTTTAGGGAGGACAGTGATAGTACCTTTGATATCAACTCTGCCATAACCTCTGCGGATGCAGGCAGACCAGGTAAGAAGCAGCTGGGCACACATGGTGGTGCTAGGGGAGCACTCAGGCCACCAGAAGAGAAAGACCCAGCTTCCTGATCCTTAAGCCACATCCTCACTGCCTGCCCCATTTATGGTGGCCATTTCTGTCTCCATCCCTGCTTCCTGGGCAAAGCTATGCTGGCCCTCTGGCCAAGGGTGGGGAGTGCTGAGTCAAGTTCACCCATCTTCTTCCCTGCAGCCAGTACCCCCAGCCTCCCACAGGGACGAGGACCTACAGCTGCAGCTGGCTCTGCGCCTGAGCCAGCAAGAGCACCAGAAGGTAGTGAGTGGGCTGAGCCGCCTGGGCCTGGGCTGCAGGTGCCCCAGTGCGGTGCTGGTGGAGGTGCTATGGGCACTAACCGGCTTCTCTGCTGCTCTAACTTGGTGCCTCCCACCCCGCTCTCTCCTTGACCCCAGGCTGGGCGCACAGGTCCCCTCAAGTTCAGCTTGAACTGCTCATGTTCCTCCTGCCTCTGTACCTTCTGCAGGAGGTTAGGTCCTGGCGGGGAGATGACTCCCCCGTGGCCAATGGTGTAGGGGCTGTGGTTCACCATCGCCATCGGGGGGACACAGAACCAGGAAGAGAAGAGAAAAAGGAGGAAGAGAAGCTGAAAACCAGTCAGGTAGGGAGCAAGTGGAGTGCGTAGGCCAGCAGGCCTGGAGGTAATTGAGTTGGTATTTGTAGAGCGTAGAACAGTGCTTGGTGTATAGTAAGTACTACTTAAATATTTATTAAAGGAAAATGGGGGTGGCAGCATGTAACAGCCCCTGGTCCCATACGTGTGGTCTAGACTTGAGCTGATAGCAAAATGGGATGTGACAAGATCCTGACCAAGATTCTTGGATTTGCTGCCACTTACTTTATGACTTGGAGAATATCACTGTCTAGGCCTTGGTTTCCCCTTCTACACAGCAAGTTCTTTGATCCTGATATTGTAGAATCACGGGATACTGTGGATCACGACTAGGGGCTGGTTCTGGCACATGGTGCTGAAGACATCTTGGGCAGCCTGGCAGGGGTGGGTGGGGGAGTACATGGTTTCTGAGAGCAAGACCACCCTCCAAAGCTATTCAGGCTGCCCGTGGGGTGTCTCTGTCCCCTTTCTGCCCACATTCATTGTGGTCAGTTTCTCTTGGACACTGACCTATGGAGGTAGGTTTGTTTAAAAAAAAAAATCATCTCTGCTCTTATGGCCTCTTTCTGCTGGCCTGAATTCTATCCCAGCGCTGCCTCTCCCTGGCTGTGTAACTTCAGGCAAACCATTTCCTCTCTTTGGGCTTGAACTGGCTCATCTGTAAAGTGGGTACATCACCTGCTTTACCTTCCTCACAGGGTTGTTATGAAAGTGGGCAGTCAATGGATGAGGAAACATTTTATAAACTGGAAGCTGTACAGAGGTGAGGGATCATTAAGAGATGTTTGTGGAATGAATAAAGGAGGGAATGAGTTCGAGTTAGGCTGGCAGGTCAGGGCCTGCCCTCCCTCTGGGCCCTGCCTACGTCCAAGCTGCCTCTCCCCTCCACAGTCCTCCATCCTGGACTTGGCTGACATCTTTGCACCTGCCACAGCCCCACCCTCCACACACTGCTCTGCTGACCCATGGGACATCCCAGGTGGGTATGCAGGCCTGCAAGAGGCTCCTAGGCTGGTCCCAGAAAGCCCCTTCCTTCCCAGCCACTATGGTCAACCACTTCCCCACATTAGCTGGGGCAAATCACTCACCTCCCCCAGTCACAGCTGCCTCTGTGACCTGGCTTTTATGGTGAAAGAACCCCCAGTGATGTGAATCTCAGTAGAGGTTCTCTTGCTGCCCTCTCGCCATTCCAGCCCTGAATGGGAAGGTGGCCAACATTGCCCATGCCTGGGGGTCCAGAGGCCTGGGATAACTAACCTGGACTCCAGCTTCTGGCTGCTCCTGAGGCAGCCTTCCACCTGTCAAGTGGCTCCCATACCTCCCACTTGGGCTGTGTAACTGGGAGAGGCCCTGCACGAGGGATTCTGGGAGCTGGGGGTCTGGGCTTACACCTGTGCTATTCCCATTCTAGGTCTCAGGCCGAACACAGAACCCAGTGGCTCTTCCTGGGGACCTTCTGCAGACCTCTGGTCTCCAGTCCCCTCAGGAAATCCTCTGTCCCGAAGCCAGCCTTGGGACTTGCTTCCTACCCTCTCCTCCTCTGAGCCCTGGGGCAGGACCCCAGTGCTGCCTGCCGGACTCCCCACCACAGACCCCTGGGCACCAAAGTCTCCCCACCACAAACTCCCCAGCACTGGAGCTGATCCTTGGGGGGCCTCCATGGAGTCTTCTGACACACCTGGTAAGCGGAGGGCAGAGGGTCTTCTGGGTCCCCCTCCCTCTGGTGCCAGCAGGTACTGTGCTAAGAGGGCCACTTCCCAGGAAAGGGGTCAGACCAGTGCCTGCCCTTTATGCCAACTCATCTCCCTCTTTCTCCTTGTCTAGTTCTAGGTGGTACCTCGAACTTCGACCTATTTGCCAAACCTCCAGAATCCACAAAAACCAAGGAGGGTCTGGAGGGGCAGGCCTTGCCCTCAGGGAAGCCCAGCAGTCCTGTGGGTGAGCAGGAGGCCAAGAGATACGGAGGCTTTGGGAATGAGTGGCCCAGCAGATGGGGTTCCTGCCCTCTTCCCTTCACCTCAGTGGCCAATCTGTCTCCCACCAACAAGCTCTATCATGTACCTTTCAGAGTTGGACCTGTTTGGAGACCCTAGTCCCACTTCCAAGCAAAATAGCACCAAGGAGCCAGATGCCTTTGACTTGGATGTACTAGGAGAAGCATTAACCCAGCCTGGACAGGAGACCCGCACCTGCCGTACCCCAGAGTCCTTCCTGGGCCCCTCGGCCTCTTCCTTGGTCAACCTTGACTCATTGGTCAAGGTGCCACAGGCTGCGAAGACCCGGAATCCCTTCCTGACAGGTAGGGCACCCCCGAGTCCCTCAATACCAGGAGCCTTGCTCTCTCCTGCCCTCCTAGCAGAGCCCAGCTGCTGCCCAGCTGCTGTCTTCCTCTTCCCTGGCTCTAAGACCCCGATCTCGCCGCCCATTCCTGCGCCCTCTCTTGTTCGCAGGACTCAGCGCTCCGTCCCCCACTAACCCGTTCGGTGAGCAGGGCAGGCCGACCCTGAACCAGCTGCGCACCGGGTCACCTGCACTGGGCCTGCCGGTCGGCGGGCCTACCGGGGCGCCCCTGGGCTCCATGACCTACAGTGCCTCCCTGCCCCTCCCGCTCAGCAGCGTGCCGGTCGGCATGACCCTTCCCGCCTCCGTCAGCGTCTTCCCACAGGCTGGAGCCTTCGCCCCACCGCCTGCCAGCCTGCCGCAGCCGCTGCTGCCCACCTCCGCCTCGGCTGGGCCGCTGCACCCGGGCCCGCAGACTGGCACCAACCCCTTCCTCTGAGCGACGCCCCAGCCTGAGCGCGAGGCCACGCCCCCTCGTGACCTTGGGCCGGGCGGCAGTGCTGGTCAAGCACCGATCCCAGCCTCGCGGGGCAAGGCGGAAGGTGCACTCCTGAAGTTGGAGACTGAGGACGTTTTTGGGGGCGGAGGTGGCTAGACCACACCCCAACAATAAAGACTGGAACCCACGGGCTCAGCTCTTACTACCAAGGGGACTTCTTGTGGGGTGTGGCACTGGGGTCTGGACTACAGGAGGGATCATCACTGGCTGTGGAGGAAACTAC